TATTGTTAATTCTGCATATACAAATACAAAGTATTATTTCTTGTGTGTTGGAAGGAACTGGCTTACAAGGCACAGGTTACACTAATTTGTAAGCTAGGGCAAAAAACATGTAACTGTGCAACCCTGTATTTGTTAATAAAGTTTATTGTTATTATTTAACAATTCAAAACACAAGACAGAAAATGAACCAGTTTTTTTACTCCTACCGCCACTTAATTATCCTATCTTTCAACTAGATGATAACAATACATACTCGTATTACAAAAATTAATTAAATTCGGTTAAGCAGTTTCGGAGATTAGCGCAACAAAACAACGTTATATAGGAGTAACGATAATGGACTGTCTTTAGATTCGTCTTAATTAGGAAAGTTCTATTGTGCTACATACACGTATATACCTACAACTATAAAAAGATATCCAATAAAGTTCATGCTTATCTATATATTTTAACACTTACCTCTTAACTACGTTACAATTTAGTATCCTCAACTGAACCACCACTTCAAAGGATTGGATTGATTTACCTTGGAGCCTATATCAATCAAATCGATAGAAATGGGTTATCGAAATAAAACAATATTTTATTTCCTTGTTTCGAAAATAACCGAAGCCGGTGGCGATTTTAATTAAAAACCCAGTTGATTGGGAGTCGATAGCTTTTATCCAACTACAAATATTGATGAACGCGTTTAATCACTCGCCAGTGGTAATTATTTATTTCTTTTCTATAGTTATATTACTTTTTAGAAACAGTAATGTTGTTTGTGTGAAGTAAATATTCTTAAACATTAAGCTATGAAATATTGTTGCTCTAGTAAAGATGAATACTAATCATGTCACCATGGTTACATGATAAAAATGAGATAGTAATATACATTTTTTATTTTAAACTTTATTGACTACTAAAATAAGGTATAAAATGCTACAAAATTTTATGTTACTGCTTGTAACGTTACATCTCTTCTAGTCAACCTTTAGAATATACAGATATTCGATGGCAGTTTAAAAAATAAAATTATATATTATATATATACAAGTGTTCGTAGGATAATATTCATACTAATATAGTGTTTATATATAATACTTATATATAAAAATATACATATAATATACACGTGATGAACCTATTCGATTACTTGTTATGATTTAGAAAATTCAATATAATATATGACTATGAAATATTGCTATAGGATTTCTATATTACTAAACGAGAACTGACATCTCCAATTCCTAGCAATATACTCTGTCTAGTTGATGTAGTTCTCCCTTGAAACCATCGTGCTTAAATTCTCGCGGATTCGTTAATCTAACTGGCCTGACTTCATCTTCCATCATTTTTCACATTTTGAATCCTATTCGCGTTAGTCCGCCTTTTATACCTTATATTATTTTGGTTAATAATTTTATTTTTCTTTTTCTAGACTGCTAATTGGCAATCTGTTCCTTATAGAACAATAATCCAATCTGCTGTTTGGATGTCAGGTATTTTGATTAACAAAGTTATTTATTTATTTACTCTTCACTGCACCAGTCACAAAAATAATAAATATTAGTGGTGTAGGTGGTGTTGCCATTCTATGTCCACCCGAATAACAAATTCAAATTATAATATACATTATACTCGAAACCAAAATGCTACCAAAATTATTTACTATTTAAAATACTTAGTTTAACTTTCAGTGTAAATTAACACATACAAACATTTAATATATTCATATTATGAATACCATTCACTGCTATAATAATAGTTTATAATATTTCATGTCATAAAACTATATATCAAATACGCTATGGATATTCCTATAAATCAATAATACCCAAAGTTCTATATTTATGTGAGTTAATGACGTAAATAGGGGTCCATAATTATGAGCATAATTGTGTAAATAGTGCTTTGGTTTATTTTAATTTAAAATCTATTAATAGGTTAATGAAACTTAACATGTGTTTTTTAATAATGTAACAAGTTGATTTATAACAACATTTAAGTAACACTATATCAACTAACAAAAATACATTTGAAGTTAATGTATCACCAAAAATTCTATTTCAGATAGCAGGAGGTCTAACAAATCTACGAAATAACACAGTTTGGACACTGCTTAAAATAAATAAAATGTATCCAAATTTACTCACGCGGCTTATAGCTAGTATTTGATATAATTAAACAAGTCTAACAGAAGTGATCAAGAAAGATACAAGCGACCCCAGATCTTGACATAAATATCTACATAAAAGGTGAAGGATTAAGGCTTTATGTAAACATTTGTGCATGGCATGCATCTACTATATGAGGTTGCAAAATATGCATCATGAATAAAATGTAAAAAATGTTGCAATCAACTTATAATTAGAAAAAAAAAGCTTATTGCTCCATCTAATATTTATATGAATAAATAAATATAAGAGCCTATACAGACAAAAAATATTTCGGCATATATTTTTTTTTGCAACTTCTATTGTCAATTTGTGGTCAAATATAATTTTTACATAATTTATTATAAAATTGACAATGCGAAGATGAAAAGATTAATTAAAGTACAGACAATAGAACACAATCCTTTTTATGTTATTATTTTAGAGCGTTATTTAATAATAACGCTCTTTTAATGACACAAAGTATTTAATAATGTGCTATTTTAAGTTTATAAGTGTCGTTAGATTCAATTAATTATACTCGACCAAATATGGGAACTTTAGTATTACGATCATCAAAACAATATTGAATAAGCATTAAATGCTTCTAACTACCCCGCTAGGAACTATAGCCATGAATATATTTATTTAATTTTTATAATAAATACCTACTGAATGTGATTTAACGCAGTTTGGGACTAGACGGAGTGACGGCTCAAGACCGTTCCTTATGGCATTCTATAGGGGAGACATATGTTCAGCAGTGAACATATATTGGTCAAGATGATGATGATGATGAATGTAATTAATAATAGTATAAAATAATTTAAACAAAAATCTGTCTTACCTCTCAAGCAATCTCTTCCAGGCAGGCCTTTGTGTTAAAAAAATAAGACCTATAAGAAAATAATTATTTCATGTGAATAGAACAATTATAGTATTATCCTATTTACAAGAATTGCAGTTAATCACATCACCAAGCAAATGAGACATGGTACAATTACATTTAATTAAGATTATTACTGATAATAGATACTACATAGTTGCTATTATATCTTCACATTGTATGTAGGTACCAACCTAACCCACAAACGTAAAAAAAGCTATCAAGTAGGTTAATAGGTGTGATTGTTAACTAGAGTTTTTTTCTTAACACTTAGTTTATGTGATACATTAATTCTAAAATGTAATTCACGAGGTTTATTAACTTGTAAGATATTTAGACTTCAAGAGTCGACTAAATCTCTTATTACAATAGTTCCACACTATTTTTGTCTACAATACTCTACAAGTATATTAAAATTTATATATTTGAAATAATAAAATATTGTGTATCACAAAAACAATATCTGTTGAAATCATTGATTCTAAAATTAACCTACTTAAATATTCCAGAGCTGATATATACTATGTACTTTTACTTGCAATGATTTTACTCTATTATCCAAAAATAAGTATATACTTACAACAAATTTTACTGAAGTTGCTCATTATAATACACTTAAATATAATAACAGACATATTAATTTTTTTTTAATTTAAGAAGCTACAGATCTAGAAAATTATTATTTGTATAACTTATCTGATGTAACACTATTTTGAGTGGATGTAAATATTCACTTAATTTTTATCCATACAAAATATTAACGAAAAAGAACCATTTTAATGAATATACCAAATACATTTTGGGGTCTGGATCATAATTTAAACTGATATTATACATTTAGTGCCTCTTACCTCATTATCCAATTGAGCTGTCACCGCCATATGCCCATACTTTATTTATTCACTGGAATAAGATTATAATACTCGTTCTTTTTTTATAAAATTTAGAATGGAAATAAAGCCGGTGATCTATCTAACTAATAGTACTGATAAGTTATTACTCACAAAAGCAATTATAAACTTACATTGAAGCAAACATGAAATTCAAGTTCTTAGAATTTACTTTTTCAGATTTTCTTGTTATGGTATTTATCTTTTAGATGAGATATTTTATTTTACTAATTATTTATAATACAGCGGTGAGAATGAGTATGACTAGAATTAAAATCGAGAGTCCGATATTCTACGGAACGAAATTAAAATATTATCTCTTAACAGTATTTCAATAAATTGAAAGACACGTCCAATAATTCTGCTCAGAATTAAATTATTTAAACTCCTTCATATAATAGAAGATTGAAACTTTCTAGACAAACTAAACTTGATTAACTGAAAATAAAAATTAATCAAGAACCTGTTATAAACTTGTAGGTGTATTAACTACTTAATTGTATTATTTTAAAATCACTATCATGATTACTACATTAACCTTTTCTTGCGACAAGAAAGGAAGAAAAAAAATATTATAAACTACTTACCTATGTGATAAGTAAGTAGTTTATAATAATTTTTCACTAGATGAAACGACGAACTGATTATACATGTATTTGAGTTCGTTGCTTCATCTAATGAGACATAGGTATGACGAACTCAAATGTAAGTTAAAATCGTTCTCTATTTAGTTTACGGAACAAGTTAATCTACCTTTGTCATTACAATTATCTTTATAGGATAATTATTGGCTGAACGATGACGTTAAACTTACGAATACAAAATAAAAAAAAAAACGTTTTTGTAGACTGTTGCGGTTGTAGTTAGTAGAACAAAATTCCTGTAACTATCTATCTAGGATTATAGTTACGAAAATTTATTTTTTAAACACTAATTTATATTTACAATAAAGTTATCTCAAAAATTCGTGCATCCGTAACGCTTTTTACCTCTGGGTCGATTTCATTTGACGGTGTAATCCGTTTGGTCTCGATAAAATATTCATGCGTCGGACGATTGGGTCTCCCGCATAATAAAAAAAATAAAATCGTCTCGCAAACATATTATATTTATTCTACTGTATTACAATATGATTTTTTTTTCATCGCTGTCATTGTAAATTAAATACGTTGTTCACTACGACTCTATTTTATTTATTTCATTTTAAAAAATCATTGAATAGATATATCATCTATAGGATTTTTATCGAAAAATATAGCGATGTTTTTCAACATTTTCTTGATGCCAGCATCGATTATGGGTCTACCAAACTCTGTTGATATTTCTTTCCAGTTGTCATTCAGAAATATGTGCATGGAATCACCTGTCAAAAAAAGTACATATTACAACAAATGGTCATTTTTAAATTATAATTATGCTTTAATCCTATTTTACACAATTTAGAACAAACAATATTATTTTTATATTACACTAGAAAAATGAAAATAAGTATGTGATCAAAATAATATTTTTTTTTTTAATTTTTGTGTCTGTTTGTATGTTTATCCAGGTATCATGCAAAAACTACTGTACAAAATTTGGACGCGTTTTCACACTAGCTTGAAATCTAGTATGTGTTTTATCTTGATCATGATCTAAAAACGGTCTATTCAATAGATTTTCCTACTTCTGAAATCTATGCCTATGAGGTAGCGGGCAAAAAACTAGTAAAATATAAATACTTCACGTATACCTTCAATCCAGTCAACGTGAGCTAAACGCGACTCGCAACTGAGAAAGCCCCGGAATAAGTTCAATCATTTCTCCAGTTGTTTTTGTAAGTCAAACTAAAGTCAAATAAACATACTATCCACCTTCATAATACACTCTCACAACTTACGTAGCGTATTTCGCTTATTTCCTTTCTAGCAAATTAATTGTACGCAATCCTTCTATGCAAAATATTTGCATAGCTGTGTTTCAGTTTGAAGAGTGAGATAGGTATGATGTAAACTACTAGATTACTATTATATTACTAGATATAACTAATCATAATTTGCAACTCGCAAGACTTAAGACTTGTAAAGTCGCAAGGGTTCAGCAACACTCTATGACATAATGACATATTTAATGATGCAAGAGTTCTTGAGCTATTGTCACCGTTTATTATCAGACGAGTAGTTAACTTAATTGTAAAATAAAAAATAATTTTAAATGAGTAAAGTGTGTAATGTTTTTATATCATAGAAAACCTGGAATGGTAAATAATCCAATGGCCCAACTGATTGTAAATGGTTTTTTTTTATACCACTGAGGTGGCAAACAAGCATACAGCCCAGCTGATGGTAAGCGGTTACCATAGCCTATGAACGCCTGCAATACCAGAGGTATTACGCGCGCGTTGCCGACCCTGAAGAAACCTCTTTACCCCCCTTTTGAAGAACCCCATGCTGTAGTCTGTCGGGAAAACCTCGGCAGGGAGCTCATTCCATAACCTGTCACCTTTAAATATAAAGGCAAGTTGCTTCATTGGACACCATAAAATATACTGTAATGTCCATGTTATCACTCTTGTATTACCATTTTTGTAGACTATGGTGTTATATTCTCGTACCCCGTAATTTCACTGCTTTGTCCTCCCCTTCAAACCGAAACACAGGCATACAAATAGTCACTTTACAACAAAAATATGAATTAAACAAAGGTACCCACGCAGATGATATTTATACATGGAATCCTTCCAATGTTTTAAAAACTTTTAATACTTACTCAATTCCTTGTTCCCGTTAAAAAGATTCGTGAGTTCGAAGTGAGCATTCCCAAGCACCTCGAATACAAACTCATACTTCTTAGGAACAACACGATCTTTGCCGTCACTGCCTTTTTTCAGTATGTAGTTAATGAGTACTTTAAATTGAACATCCCCTTAAACAATTAATAGATTTGTATACGTTATATAGTTCTGTTTTTGTTGCGATACAACATATACATTACATTAAATAAATCTTATACAAATAACCGTGATAATTACATAGTGTTATCCAGTTCCAAACGAAGCAGTTATTATATTGTGCATATAGTATTAGCAATCGAAAAGTAAAGCAGTATGTTAATACTGTCATAGTAATAATATCTATACTATATACATGTAATAAAATTCTAAGTGGACGATGTCTGTACATATGATATTTTTAAGAAATATTAATATGAAAATTATTATTAACTCTTTAATAACAACTGAAGTCGAAACATTATTTTTTTAGAGCTTTTAGATGTCTGATGTTGTATATTTGTTTTAGCATCATGCGAAATCTATTATAATACCAAATTGAATGAGATTTTCAGAGTTGTTTTTCTGAATATTCGTATTAAAATCTTATTATATTCAGACTTAATGCGCTGGTTAAAAATTGTCTATTTTATTGTTAATCGACTTATAAAAGCCAAGCGTATGAAGTTACAGACAAAATGTATCATTTGATAACATGATAAATTATGACGATTATATGAATTTATTCTGGTAAAAAATAAATAATATATTAATAATAAATTACTAACTTAGTTTTAACTTCAGTTCTCCATCTCCAGAAATAGGCAGGATTAATATTCTACCATTAGCTTTATAGTGACCATTAAGGGTGTTATTTGAGCGAAAATTCATTTCCATAACTTTCTTCTTTGTATCCCAACTGTAAAATACTTATAATATAATAACATCATAATATAAAAATTAGGAAGAATTTCTTTAAAATTTACCTTTGCTTTTTTTGTCTTTGTTATAAAAAACAAACATCAGTACAAAATAATTCATGTCAATATTAATAATAAAATTTTAATTAAAACTGTATAATTTTGAGTGTCACAATCCGTTTAAACGTAGTACTATTATATTTAATAGTAGTACCTTGGATATTTCCAAGGCTGGTTTGGGCTTTTTAGAATCCTCTTATGGCCAGAGATTCAAGCCAAATAATGAGGTATTAATAGCATTTATGAAAATATAATAATTATGAAAGATATTGTGATGATTAGAAAAAATAAAACAGAATATTTGTCGCTGAAATTTACAAAATAAAGGGTTTCCTTAAAAGTGACTTACACAATTTGGTCAATAATGGAATTCTTGAGGCCTTTTAGATGGCCACCTTTCAAGGCAAACTGCAGACCAGACAAGTCAAATTCAATATCCTCCATTTCCATTACATCTAGAACATCTGTGCCTAACTCCGGCATACCTTCCATAAATGTTTTTAGACCATTTTGAAACGACTGAGTCAAGCATTTCGAGTCATCAAGACGGCATTTTTCGACTGGTAACACTAAAAGAGATAATGACTTTTATTGTTTCATCAACATCATATCAGATTTTAACTGTTCACTGCTGAACATAAGCTTCCTCCTATTGGCGTTTTGCCAATTATTGCCATGCCTGACAAGTGGGTTGGTAACCGCAGTTAGACTTTGGAGATGCTTTAAGGGGGACGCTGCTGCCCATTGCCCTCCCTTAGTCGCCTCTTACGACATCCACGGGAGGCCTATTCTATGCCGGGAGCACGCGGGAACGTTTTTGTTTATTCACTGTTTATTACAAAAGAATAAATTTAATGCATTGTTCTTTAAATTAAAAGCAAAGTCTATTAATCACTGGAAATACTTATGAAGATCTACTTATATGGTAAGAACATACATATCATCATTGTTATCACATTGTTTGTTAACCGTACAGCAATGGTTGGATGTGGGTAAAAAAATATAGAACACAAAGGTACAGGAATAACTGTTTAGTTAAAGTAAAACTATATATGTTTTATGTATATATAGTTTTTTACGTTCATCGTTCATCATCGGAGGTCTTTCAGAATAAGGAATAGGTGTGTATAAGGAGCACTATAGTCTTGACAGTGTATTTATTCTATAAAATCCATTTTGTTTCTAATATCTATAAGCAACGATTGGCACTTTTAATCAACTCAGCTGTCCGATTATTTGGCTTTACGAGATTAAAAAAAAATACAAATAAAACACCAACTTACCAAAACTAAGCGATGGAACTATTAAACACAGAGCAACTATTATACCTGATCGAACCAACATTGTCATATAATTCTTCTATATTATTGTTGCAATACACGCAAGTGGCTTTTGCAAAGGTAAAATCCTACTGTTATATGTCGGCAGATACTTATATTAATATACCCATTCAGTTGTAGACCATGATTTTAAATTACTTAGCAATAATTTAGAGCAATTATAAAATTACACTAACGAGCTGTAAGCTGTTATAGTACCATAAATAATAATTTACGGCGATAGAATCGCTTGAGTTATATAAAAAATAATACATATACATAAGGAAGGAAAAATGAAAAAGATAGAATAATGATTTTGCATTATATTCAAGAGTTTAATAATTATATTGACTCATATGAATATTTACTAGTGTCCTATAGCTACAGTTTGTAAGAATGAATGAATGGATGTTTGTTACCCATTCATGCAAAAACTACTGAACAGATTTGAATGAAATTTGGTACATGAAAAGGTTATATTCTGTAACTTAGAACACAGAATACTTTATATACTGATTTACTTAGATGAAGTCGCAGGATACAGCTTAATACGGCTTAACCAGCCGTTATGAAATGTATGACACGCAATATTCGGAATGGAGAAGGACATAGACCACTTTTTATTTTAATTAGTCAATACATCCCGATCAGGCGACCGGAGTCGCAGCTAAAAGCTAGTAACTTATAACATTAATTTAAGCAATCTCGCAAGGTGGTCTTCTGTTTTTCAAAACCTCTTGTACTCTTTTATTTTACCAGCTATTATTATGTATCTATTAAACAACAGATAAATACATACTATAAAAAAAATCATCGTACTTAGAAATTTTTTTTTTACAACTTAGAATGGCAAACAAGCTGACGGCCCACCTGATGGAAAGTGGTAACCGTCGCCTATAGACATGAGCAGTACCATGGACATAACAGAGTATACTGTTTCGCCCATGATACCCCCATGCGTTGCCATTCCTGAGGACTCAGGTGTTATTCCTCTGTACCCTGTAAATTCACGCCATATCCCACCCTTCAAACCGAAACACAGCCATGCAAACACAACTGCTTCACGGTAGAAACACGAATGGGACAGAGGTGCCCAAGCAATCGACTTTTATACAAAATATCCCTCTGGTGATTGTGAGTGGTGAGAAAATGAAAAAAGCATCATTTCACTCTTTATTTTTGTGGTATTACTAAAAAAATACCTACTAGATATGTAAAGCAATTCCATTCTAGGAATATTGTTAGCTATTTGCATTTATAAATTACGATTTCGCAATGTATAATGCATTTGTTGCACTTTGTCGTCCTTTAAGACGTTATATTATTCATGCATACTTCGTTTGTACACGTGTATTACAAACTAATTCAAAATACAAAATGCCAACTAATTGGGATTTCTATTTTCTACTTAAACTGAGAATCTTTTACTGACCTGGGTGTTATTTTGTTGAAGTCCATATCACTGGTTATTTGATTAAAATTATTTTTTAAATTTTTTTTTTTACTATATTTTCTTTGTACACATACTAATGGTAGCAGGATTAAAATAAGTAATTCTAACCAAATAACCAGTGAAAGAAAATCTCACATCCTATAATTTTTATTTAATCAAATACCAAATTCTACTCTGATATATTGTGAATAGTTGGTGAAGTATTTTTTATCCACAACACCAAAAAAGGAATAGTAAACAAAAACTATAGTTAGTTAACTATCTCCATGAGTAAAACAAAAAATAAACAAATAAATTTTGCTATACAAACTAAAAAAGAAAAAAAAGAAAAATTACTGTCCTGCTTATTTTTTTAATCTACTGCTTGCTGTGATGAATAAAAAAGTCAGAGAAATTGATCGCTTGCTATTTTCAAATAACAGTTTAATTTAAAACATACAATACTAAAACGACATTTTAAGCATAGATCAACATTACTATGCGGGAGTAGATCTGTTATAGTATAGAGCAGCATGTTTCTAGGAGTAGCTTCCATCCACGAGTATGATGAAGTACTCTTTCTCAAAAATCATAATAGTATTATGATTTTTTTTAAATTTTAAAATATATGATTATGCATAACAGACCGGTTTAATATTTTGTCATTTAAGTATATATTCATCAATGTCATTAGTACTCGTAATCACTTATTACTTTTTTACAATAAATTAAATAAAAGCTAAACCAAGTTTTGTTAAAATTATCACTGATATGCTCTCTAAATGAAATTATTATAATGATTGTATTTTAATGCAATTTAGAATTACAAACAAGGTGACAGTCCACCTGATGGAAAGTGGTAACCGTTGCCTATAACAATACCATACAAATAACAGAGTATACTGTGTCACCTACAATACCCTGCCATTTCTGAGGATCAGTGTTATTGCTATTGGAAATCAGCAGATTGTTAAATGGTTATGTCAAGTATTCGTTTGTATGTATATATTTTTATCTAGTTGTATGTATAGATTTTTTCTCATCCAGCCCTTAGATAGTAGTAGTAGAATACTAAATAGCTAATTATTGTTTTACCATAGTTAGATTTATACTGCATGATGATAAGTGGTTATTAATACTATGAACGCTTGCACTGATATTGGTTTTGCATTGTCTATCCTGAAAAAAAAAAAACAACAATACCCATTTCATGGAGAACCCCAGGCAGTAGACTCTTGGGAAACCTATTATAAAATATTAAAAGCAATTTCCTAAAATATATTAAGTACAGTCATTAATACTCTCCGCCTACGTTTAATCACATTTCGTATATAATGTCAATTACTGATAAGTAAAAATAAAACAACTTTTCTATTGTTAATATTTTATTATAAATTACATAACTAAAGTCAAAACTCCGTAGTCACCATTTGTCCTCCATATCACATAATAATACTAGATTTAACTTCCTAAACAATTTGGAGACAGTTTAAAAAACTTTAAATTTGTACTAACGATTATATAAACTATAACATTTACTGTAAAATATATATTTCAGTAGTAATACAGTTTATATTCAATTTCAGTCTTTTAATATTGGATGTATAATATATTATATATTCCCCAATTTGTTCCTTATTACTTATGACACGTCTAAAATGTTAACATAAAACTACATTAAACATAAGACAGTCATAATTATAAATTAAAAACTAAGAATAATGCAAACATTATTCTTTTATCACATTTCTATTACGTCTTCCATAGGACGTGATTTAAAAAAGGTTTTGATGACTGCAAATATTTTAGCATTAGGTATATCAAGCATCGGTGTGCCGAACTCTTGTACTAGGACTTTCCAATTCTCATTCATAAAGTTGTGCATTGTGTCACCTGTGAACAAAGGAAGTATATTATATTTGGTTTGTTCAAATATTTACATACGAGAACGTATCGACAATCAAAATGAATTCATAACATATTCATCGAGTTTCTGCCTTTATCCTATATCATTTGGGGTCGGCGTAATATGTTTTTCTCGGCCATTCATCTCCATTTGCAGTCATAACATAAACTCTTTATTGTACACACTACAGACGTATGCTTAGAATATATACAAATGTATATACAAAACTTGCGACTATAAAGCAGGCATTATCGCTTAAAGCAAGCCCTTATAGACAATTTCACTTAAAGTATATATATTAATTATGCTACAAAGAAAATGTAAGTAAGTAGGCATCGCAATATTCACTTTCACCATTTACAGCCATATTACAATCTTTCACAGAGTCCATGCATCTCTTTTGGAGTTTCCTCTTCTCCAACTTTTCTCTTTATAAAAATTTTCCTCGAAGTTTAACGAATACTTGAAAATATATATTAGCTTAATTGGTTTAATCGGTTTCGAGTATATACTTTGCAAAATATTTAGAAATTCATTTAGAAATTTCAGTAACGTAACGTAATTTAAAACGTATTTACAGTACTACAAGACATAATTAATAACAAGTACCTATAGAATAAACCGCACCTTCTAATTCAAAAGACCTCACACAAGTAAGATTATGTTTCTTTAATACAATTAGGCGCGTGTAGGTTTAAATCACTGCTAATTTCTCTATTAACACAATATTTAATCTACGTATTACTAAGCCAAACGCTTTAGAACTATATTACCAGAATCGATAACTATATGAATTATTAAATCTATTTTGAAGTAGGTGCGTATGTGTTTAATATACAATAACGACGGGAGGGGGGGGGGGAAGGGATTGTTAGCAATGGAATTTGACAACCCCATTGCTAGCAATATGCCCTATTCCGACCCTAGGTCGACCTCCAAGTGGTTCCCCCTGGAAACCATCGTAAACAATTCTTTTTTTTTTTATGCAACTTAGAATGACAAACAAGCTGACGGCCCACCTGATGGAAAGTGGTAACCGTCGCCTATAGACATGAGCAGTACCATGGACATAGCAGACTATACTGTTTCACCCATGATACCCCCCATGCGTTGCCATTCCTGAGGACTCAGGTGTTATTCCTCTGTACCCTGTAAATTCACGCCATTCTTATTGAATTCGTCATGATGGGCTAACTGACCTTCTACATCCTCACCTATCATCTTTTACTGGTGCCCCGCCGGTATATACCGATAGCGCGGGTGGAGTTACCATTCCATTATCACTCATAAAAAATGTTCATAATGGTGGGGGGGAGGGTTGTTAGTAATGCAGACTACCAGTCCCATTGCTATCAATATACCCTGTCAGGTCAACCTCCATGTGGTCCGCCCCTTGAAACCATCGTGCTGAATTCCAGGTGTATTCATCACGATGGGCTAAATAGCCTGCCTTTTCATCCTCACTTATTATCTCCCACTGGTGCCCCACTAGCGTATACCGTTACGCGTCGGGGTCACCATTCCATTATCATCTATTAAAAAAAAAATATAATAACATATATTTTATGCTGCTCGTACTAATTATAGTACAAGATAGGTACGTAACGATTTATGAAAATTAAGATTATTATTCATTTTCCAAAATGTTTGAATAAGTTTATTTCAGCGCGATACAATATGACACGATCATATTGTCACTATATTATAGGAAAGTAAACTATATGTAATTTTATAAACATATTTTTAATTTTAAATGATTCTCACAACTTATTTTTATCAATAACATCGTACCATACCATTTGGAGTCTTCAAGTTAATATTTTAAAAGGTGTTTAAAAATAATAAGATCTTATAATAAACATTGTAACATACTATTTTATCCAAGAAAACTATTCTTTTTACTTGAATTTGTTATATTGTCTCGGTTCCCGAATGATTACATCTTCAATGACATACTATTATGAACTTTTCGTGTTAATTTAGAAAGAAAAAAGTCAAAACTAATATTATAAAGTATAAAGTTCACTCGAGGTTTGCTGAAAAAGAACTCTTACAGAGTTAAACTCGCCTGTTATATATATTTATTTAAAATAAATTATAACAATGTAATTTTTGTGTACAATAAGGTATAAATAAATAAATAAAAGTTTCTTATGGCAAACTACAGACGAGGCATAGTAATGACGAATATTATAAAAAGTAAAGATTTGATATATTGTTTGTAATGGATAAACTAAAAAAATACTTAATCTTACCTAATTTAAAAAAATCCTTCACCTTGAGAAAGCTACATTATTAACGATTAATATACGAAAAAATACAAGCTGTGTAGTACTTTCTTTTATAATTTACTAATTTATTTTTCTACCAATCTACCCGTGTGAAGTTGGGGCGTGACGCTAGTGTTTTACCAAGAGTTTCCTCTTTACTTAAATGCGCTATTTCCATTTTGAATCTAAATTATATCGTAATCATCCCGTCTCCCGAAAATTTCCTCAGTCAATTCTATTACATCACCAAATCAAATAAACTTAGAGCAGTAAACACATTTAAATCTTACTTACTCAGCTGTTTGTTTCCGTTGAATAAATTAGTTAGACGAAAATTCGCATTGGTTTTTACATCGTATTTGTATTTGTAACTCTTGACCTCAATGAAATCCTTGCCATCTGAATTTTTCCTAATCTCAAACGGCATAATCATTTCTATGACAAGATTCTCTGAAAAACAAGTATTTACTAATTAATTTATTCAGAATAACAAATAATTACATATTGAAAATAGTATTTACAAAATATTATATAGAATATATATTACTGAATGTGTTAAGTATTTACATCACTTACGACGTTTATTCTCATATTACTAAAAAAAAATACAATACAAACTAGGAGTACCCTTATAAAGTATGTAGAAAAATAGTATCGTACTATGAAAATTCATTAATTTTATTAATACTCTCCGGTAATCTGAAGTACTGTAATAACGTACAGATGAACTTATTATTTTCCTAATGATAAGAAAATATTCACATAAGTATATTTGTTTTCAATTATATTATGTATGTTTGAAAATTTGATTATACCAGTTAATTTAATCTGTTTTCTTACATACAGTATTCGGTTCAACAGTTGCTGGATGTGATGGTAAGTCGAGCTTTTTTTTTTATTTGTCCTTATATTTTCTTTTTTTGGAAATCAATTAACAATGTTACTAATAGAACAAGAATGTCAATTATTTCAATTTTATACTATATATTAATAAATACAAAAAGTAAATAGTTATACATACTTAATTTTATGGTAGTCTGTCCATCACCATTTATAGGTAAAATAAGGAGTCTCCCTGATGCTTTGTAATGTCCATTCATTACAACATCTGCATGAAACACGAGGGTAATCAGCTTCTTAGCTATATCAATGCTGAATAAAATAATAAAGAAAATTAAAAAATTGTATTATTGATGGCGCTATTTAGAGTCATTGACATAAAGTAATTTTTAAGTAATTAAATAGCCTTGGATATGTCACACAACGTCATCTAGTTTCAAACAAAATGAAGTTTATTGTACAGATACTAGACGGCTCACACATATATATAGTATACAGTAAATACCGTAAATTTTATAGTTAATACCTTTATAAATATTGTGAGCAAGGATGGACTTATCTCTGACAGAAATCTCTTGCAGGCAATACAGTTAGAGAGCCAATACAGTTGGAAAGTATATCGTCAGCGGCAGCGAATACGAATAACTATTAATACTAATCAATACATAAATAAATATACCAATAAATAGTTACATGAAATATTAATATATATTTGAATATTACATAAATATGTTTACTACAAATAAACATAATACCTACCTGTTTACATAACTACACTACCTACATTACAAATTTAGTTTAAAGATTTTAAGAATTTACAGTTAAATTAGAAAAATGAAAAATAAAGATTATGACTGAAACAAAAGAATTTTTTTTTTTTTAACTTTTTCTTGAAAGAGATAATAGAAGGACTTCTCTAGTGAGAAGGGAGTTTATTCTGTAATTGAGCAACTCGATACGAGAAGGATTTTCTCATAAAATGTCCTACATAAAGAAAGTTCGAGCATCTTAAACTGGCCCTGACAGGAGTGTTTAGAATGGACTGGTGGTGGTAATAAATTACACCAGGAACGGAGGTACGTTGAATAACTGGGATCATTAAGTATGTTATAAAGGAAAGATAGAATGGGCATATCACGTCATAGTCGGATAAGAAGCCACTTTAACGGGTTGCGAAAGACAGAGACGTAATCGTATTTGCAAAGACGTAATATAAACTTAGATTTTTTTAATTGTTCCTTATTTAAAAAGTCCTCAGTTACATCCAAAAACAGACGTCGGTATAGTCAAGTATCGGAAGTTGAAGATTTTGCGAGCATGATTTTGGTATTTACCATACGAAAGAATTGGAGTCGCTTGAGAGAGTGAAATGAAAAGTGCATGCGTCTACTGAGTTATGAGATCTATATGACATGCCCAAGACAGAATGCTGTCTACTATGAGGCTAAAGTTTTCAACCTTCTCGATATATGCCACAGGGCCTCCATCATAGTAAAGTGGTGGTAACTCGGACCGATTTAACCTACAACGCAGCTTGCTGCTGCCAATAATGACGGCTTGCGATTTAACAGGGTCCACGATTGTATTGCAGATAATTTAGTATTTAAGGCAGCAATGGGATCGAATGACTCAAACAGAGCGAAATGTCTGTAAAGTTGTAGATCATCCGCAGATGATAGGGAGAATTAATGATACGAGAAATATTGTTTATAAAATTTGAAAAGAATAAAAGGAAAGCATCCCACCTTGAAAAATAATTGAAAGGTAAAATAGGTGGATAGAATAGTTCAGAGTAGCAGAAGTTTTTGGTTAAGGTTCATATAAATCTAACTCGTTTCGTAACGAGGACATTATTCTGGGACAAACTTTGTTTGAAGATTTTAAAGCTGTCAGCCTGCCTTACTCCTGTAAGAAGTTTCACAAAGAACTTTCGGGAGTTATTAGTTTCTGAAATGTTTTAACCACATATGTTTGAAACAAAACACGGCCTATTTTGTTTTATCTATACTTAAAGGATTTTTTTTTTATTTATATTGAGTTAAAAGGTATAAATCGACATTACAAATCAATTATTACTATTGATAGATAAAGATTTGAAGGAAATACATTCAAACAAGTATTTTCTGAACATATTGTAATTATTATATTCAAAATTAATACTGTAGATGTTCATTTATTCATATTTGTGACTTTTAATTGAAATAATTAACTATTCACGAACCCTGCTATTCTGCATGAATTTAGTTATGCCTCTAACGAAGATTTCGTATAATTCATCTCACAGACATAGACTTAAAAAATGTCGGGAAGTGCCATATGGATAGAAATAAAAAATAGCATATTTTATACATACTTTATAAAATATGTAGGAATATATTATATACATAAGACATTCAAAATAGACACATTTGCAGCAATTAGGTCTCTATTCAAATGTAAATCTCTGATCCGTATATTTTCCAAACGGCGATACAAATAACAAGATAGTTGCATAAGAATAATTTTCAACCGATTTCAAAAAGAAGGAGGTTCTCAATTCGGTTACATTTTTTTATGTTTATTACCTTATAAGTCCGTCAGTTATAAACCGTTTTGTATTTTTTTTTCTTTTTTATCTTGATACTTTAGACTTTGATTTTATAAATTGGTCTCTTAATTTTTTTTTTAGTAAATCGATTTAGCTTTTAAATCAAAATTACTGATTTTGCCAGAAATGAAGTCGGGTTTTTTGTAGAAAACAATTTTAAATTATCATTTAAAGATAAATATGATTTCATTGTTATTAAGATTTTAGAAGGTTAAGAAAGTATAATTTTTATAAGGTTTTTCAATGTTTTCAAAGAAGCGTTATATCATATAATGTTATATATATAGTGTGTTCTACGATCACTATCTGCTGCCAGACCGAGCAATCTTGTCTTTTCTAAAACTTTATTACATGTATATCTATGAATTGTATACATTCATACATACATATGATTATCACGTACGTTACTCGTTAGAGACATTTGCGTAATCAATCAAATTCGTTTAGTTATGAACGTAGTGTAACCAGTTGCTTTAATTTACTTTCCACGATTTTTTTTTAACTTCATTTACAGAATGAAAATAATTTTATTGAAACATGAATTGTTTGTCACTGTGAGTGTTTTGCGATGAAAATACATTTATAAGATAATTTAAAAAAAGGATAGCCCCCAATTCGTTCATATTTTTTTGTGTAACCATATTACGCGCTTATTATATCGCTAATTGTAGAACGATTTTTATGTTTCTTTTTTATTTAAGGTGTTGGTATTTCTTTTACTATTAAAATTTAATTATTATATTTAAGCATTTGGATATTTTTTCATAGAAACTCCATAGTCAGATAACATTTTAGTGAAGTCAGGAGAGAAAACAAATAATGTTATGATATTGATATATTGGTCATTGCTACTCGAGATCCGTCAAACTTTTCGAGCTGCTCCCTCGAGATGAGAAAATAAATGAAGCAAATATTTGTGTCCATGAAAGACAATCCCATGAGCCCAAGTAGGTACGTTTTTGTTGGCCTCTGTAGAACTGCTTAGAGTCAGCATAAAAAATAATATGAACATATATAGATTTCCAAAACCTGAAAACTAGTACGCAAATAAAATAGCGTTAATATCGTATAAGGTCAAAAGTAATGCCATCTTGGTAAACAATCTGACGGCTTACCTGACTAAAAGTGGTAACCGTCGCCTATAGACATGGTAGTACCATGGAGATAACAGAGTATGGTGTGACAACAATAATACTCTTTATGCGTTTTCATTCCTGAGAACTAAGGAGATGTTGAAACTAAAGTGCATTCACTTTTTATGTATTATATTTTTTGTTTTATATGTCACAGATTAGAATGAATAAATTTAGAAGAAATATAATATAAAGGTATGAAAAGGAAGTTTGTACTAGTGTCGGCGATAATAAGGAATATTGTATAAATATAATAATAATAAGGAATTGTATGATATACAATAGAATATGTAAAAAATGTAAGCTTTTGACTATCTTAATGACTTTTGGTGCTGACGTTCCAAAATAAATTATTTTTACCCAACTGTGCAAGAAAGGAAGTTAATGTTTTTCATGTATATGTGCACGTATGTATTTTCGCATTTTTGGCGCAACATGTAAAGATGACTGTAAATGGACAAGCAAATTAAGTCAATTATTAAATACGCTGATAGGGCACCAGTGAAGGATGATAGACGAGGATGAAACAGGTCAGTTAGCCCATCGTGACGAATTCAACGAGAATTGTTCACAATAGTTTCCAGGGGAACCACGCGGAGGTTGACCTGATAGGGCATATTGCTAGCAATGGGGCTGTCAAACTCCATTGCTAACAATCCCTTTCGCCCAGAATACACCGTTATGTCCATGGTACTAATGAGTACAATTCAATGCCACTTCTAAAAGCTACGATAGTATGCCTTTGTATCTTGTAATTTGAAGGTCAAAGAGAATATTAAACAACTACACTATAGGCAAAACAACCAAAGTCACTGACATAGATCGATAAACGCAATGTAGAACGGACCCCACCCCCCACTAGATGAAGTGACAACCTCAAATGCATTGCAAGGAGTCAGTGTATACAGATGGCTTAGGATTGTTCTTTATGGCCGTCTATGGGGGAGGCCTGTGTTCGGCAGTAGACCGATAATGGCTGAGATAATAATGATGATGACTAGCATGGTCGTTAAAAAATATAAACTATATTAATTTTATAAACAGAAAAAGATTAGTTTTTTTTTTGTTGATTTGTTTGTAAAGGATAAACTTAAAAACTTCTCAAACAATTTTCAAAAGTTTTCCACCTATAGACAGTTACTTTACCATTAGAAAATAATTAATTATTATTAGAAAATAACATAGACTATTTTCTTTTTTCTTTTTTAAATTAAGATCCTTACGAATATTACAATAATATAACCCAAAGTATCAAAATTTGCCTAATAAAGCTAATCATTATCATCATCATTATACTAGCCTTTAACTATCCACTGCTGAACATAAGCCTTCCACTTGAGGGGTTTTACCAGTAGTTTCCATGCTTGGCAGACGAATTAGCAATCGCAGTTAGGCTTTAGATATGTTTTAAGAGGGACGTTGCTGCCCATTCCTCGCTCTTCCTTAGTCGCCTCTTACAAGACCCACGGGAAAAGAAGGGGTGGCCTATTTTATGCCGGGATCATACGGCGAAATTAAAGCTAATATACAATATTAATTTATCTATCTATCCATGCGAAGCCAAGCTTGACCGCTAGTAATGTATAACTTTATTAATTGTAATTATATTTGAACTCATACATACATACAATAAAAGGGTATTTTAATTCATGCACTTACATTAAATTAAGTAATATTCAAATAATAATATAATATTAATACTTTCGACTTGATTTATCACTTTAAGAATGATGTAGATTCCTAGAGTAAAGCTATTAAGGCGCTGTTCCACACAATGTTTTATTTAATATATGAGGAGACAGATAATTATTTTCTTACGCGTTTAATGGAACATTAGATAACTGACCTCAGCTTATCGATTATTGCCCCCTTGAGTCCTTTTATGTGCGCATCCTTAATACCCAACTTAAGTCCCGCAAGGTCCACCTTGATTTTATCTATATCCATTATATCTAATGGCTCCAAGTTCATTTCCGGTATACCAACCGCCATTGCCGGAAGTGCAGACTGCGCAGATGTCATTAGACATGCGGTATCCGATATTTTGCATTTGTGAATAGGCGGGACTGCAAAGAAAAAATATATTATTAAACACATTCTTAATTAATAATTCATGTGCATTCAATAGATACATAACCATTTTTATATGTCGTATAATGAGGGATAAAATACACTAGCTTTTAAGAGCATAACTGTGTAAACCGCATCCAATTTGTTGTAATAATTTTTACGTAGTACTGAAACAAACATACAGACAGACATAAAAAAAAAACTTAAAAATATAGTTATGGCTTATATACAAGAGGAAATTGAAATAATTGGAATCCTTTTTAAAGAATGTTCTACAATTGAAAGTGATCATTTTTTCTAAATATAAAAAAAATGCCACAAAATGCAAGCCTACGTCAACTACTCTTGTCAAACTAATATACATATTTTTTTATCCATGTTTCGAGTATTAATATAAACAAAATTTCTAATATATTTGAGAAAAACTACATTATAACTCTTAGGTTTTACTCTACGTAAAAGAGCATTAACTAAACAATGAAATTAAAACTTCAGTTTCATAGACAAGATTGTATTAGTTACTGTTATGCAATAAACAGGTTAGGTTATATGGCGAAACAGAAATCACCTTATAAAAATAGCGGATAATTAATGTAAATGAAATAATAATCTTAATTTGTCATAAACTTTGTTTAATATTACAAAAAAAAAGTAATTACACAATTTTAATTGTTCTTCAAGATAAATTATTCAGCATTATGCACAACTATTGTACCTATCTTTAATAAGTGTTCAAGAATAGGTCTATTGTGTGTCACGTAATAACTATGGTTATTTGCAACTAACATTTTAACTTTGAGTATAGACTAGTCACTCTTATTCAATTATTAGTCGAATCCCATGGCTTTATCCGCGTGAATCTGTATATAAAGTATCATAAGTGTTAAGCCAAGATATAACCTACCAGTGTACCAAATTTCATTCAAATCTGTTTAGTATTATAGCTTTTAATTGAAAAAGTAACAATGGTCTATCTAAATGGGTGGACTATTGTTATTAACTTTCGTATTTATATTATTTAGATGGAGTCGCCCTTTCAATAATTAGTCTAGTGGTATAATACCCTGTTTCATTGATTCTAAGTTCCAATCTAGCGAACACAATATTTTTTTGTGTAACTTTCCAATAACAAATATAAAGGATAATGAACTAAATTAATTCTAGTAACGACAGTAGACTATGTTTCTGTGTGTATGTTTAGTTTTTAAATCAAAATAAATGGTTTTGTCACGATTGATATTGTTGTTTTCTTTTTTTTTATATGAAACAAAGTCATAAATCATCTTACAAGTAGTAATGTAAATGTACATTTGAAGCCCTTATTCTCATCCAATTAAAGGTTTATTTTTACGTTAGTTTGCGACTACTATCAAAATAAAGTGATTGTTATTTATTTTGTTTCAATAAATACCATTTGAAATGTTACAAACATGTCCCAATGTGAGAATCAAACTAACGAATAAGAAGTGACTCATTCCTCGTCACATCGTCGGCAGTCAGGTACCTATAGTCAACGGTCAAGGTACAGTCATATGTAATAAAGTTTGTACCAAATAGACTATTATGGTGACTGTTACTGACTTCCAAGCCAGATTTTACAAGTTTTTTTTTTGTTTTTACACTTAAATGGATAGAATACGTGCCTTGCATTTGTAATGCGATATTTATAATATTTCATTTTTTGTAAAACTACTATTTCATGTAATTTAAGTATTTTTATAACATAAGAGGCAAAAGAGCATGCGACTCACTGTTGATATGTGAATACCGCCTCCATAGCAACATCAGAGAAATTTCAGATGTTTGCCGGCCTTTTAGGAAGGAATATGCTATATTTTTCAAGATCCCAAATATTTTTTTAATCTTTTTCTATACAACTTAGGATGGCAAACAAGCTGACGGCCCTCTTGATGGAAAGTGGTAACCGTTGCTTATACACATGAGCAGTACCATGACCATAACAGAGTATACTGTTTCACCCATATTACTTCTCATACGTTGCCATTCCTGAAGATTCAGGTATCATTCCTCTGTATCGTGTAAATTCACTACCATACCTACCCTTCAAGTTGAAACACAGCCATGCAAGCACAACTACTTCACGGTAAAAACACGAATAGGACAGAGGTGCCCAAGCAAACGACTTTTGAACGAAATCTCCCTCTGGTATATGTATCTATATATTGTATCTATTTGGAAATATTTCTACAGGGAATTGATTCTATATTATGGTTGTGGGTGGAAGAAAGTGTCTACAGGTGGAGGACCGCTACTCATCTAGATGGTCTGTACATCCTAAGGTTCCAACCTTAGGATGTGGCGAATTGTACGCTGATAAAATTTAGCAGCCGCTATTGATTCGAATAATTCCTCTGAATATTCTTAAGCAAAAAACAAACTAGTTTGAAGGAATTACTTGATAATATAATTTAATATATCTAATTAAAATGTAATATAATTCGACTTTAGATTCGACTGAGACTCGGAAGACTTGAAGTTTGTTAAAAACAAATATTTTGAAAAAGTAAATGTACCTGTCTTAGTTGGAAAATTAAAAATAATATAACATTAACATAATGCAAAAATAAGTTTGTTTGTTCGTTTGTTCATTTGCTAGCTCATAGCGCTTAACGAATCACTATGAAATTTGGTATACTTACACATACTACATAAGTTACTTTTTATCCCAGTTATCTAAATGACCAAAAATAGTCGCGAATAAAAGCTAGTATTATTTATATATTTTCATTAAGCTCCAATCACGGATGTTCGCATATTTCTAATGTAATATACCTACTTAATTACCTGTATATGAATGCATAAGAAATTAAACATATTGCACGAGATAGTTAAATATTGCATATACATTTCAAAACGTGTAGAAAATGTCAAGCGGATCTTTTTATTAGAACCAATTGTAATGAAAATTGGTAGGTAATTTGAACCCAAAAATGGTGTACGAGTTGCAGCCATAGATAACAATTAAATTATATATACATTGCTAGCAATATACCTTTCAAGTCGACCTCCACGCGGTTCCCTGTGGAAACTATCGTGGTTAATAACTAATGAATTCGTCGCGATGGGCCAACTGATCTGCTTTTATTCTCATCTATCAACTCTCACTGGTGCCCCGCCAGTATTTACCGATAGCGCAGACGGGGTCACTATTTCATTTCCATCCATTAGAAAAAAATGTAAGTGAAGTAATACGCCAAATAAATAACAATGTCTTCTTCGGCAACATCTCGCACTCACCTCAACATTACCAACACTAATGTTGTGGTAATAGACCCAACATTGAAGTGAAACACGAATTTATCACGCATTTTATAATAAATGAATGGTAACTTCGCTTGCGCTATGGGTATACGCTGGCAGGACACCAGTGAAAAAACGTAAATAATAAAGATAATAACAGGTAACTTAACCCATAATGACAAATTCACTAAGAATTAACTACAATGGTTTACAGAAGTCTCCAGGCGGAGGTCGAATTGATACGGTGTATTGTTAGTAATGGGGCTACCAGTCCCCATCACTAACAATTACATCCTACTACCAATATCCTACATTAATTATTTTTATATATTTTTGTAAATTTCACAGACCTCAGTTACTAGTTGAATTAACCAAACTAGAAGCATACATTAGTATTAGTATTAGCACATAAATTCCTTGCCATATTTACACATGAGTTGTCGTACATACCTAAAGGTTAAGCTACACACGTAACTGTATTAAAGAAACCAAATAACTTTCCCTGTAGATCATAATCGAAATACGAAAGTAATTTGAACTTTTCTTACTGCGGCTAGAATTCGAAAATGAAATTAATTTTCATATTTAAACAAGTTACTATGATACTGTACAAAAGCATATATATACATTAAAACATTTTTGAAATATTTTAATTACAAAAAAGTTATCGTAGAGAGAGTATGTTATACCTAGGTAACATTTATTCACATTTCTATTTAAGCCACTGCAAAAGGTGTGTTCTCATTTTATGAGTGTACTCGTATTTTAAGTTATATCTTCAGTAATTAAATTCTGATAATTCTTTTCTTTCTTTGGAAATTTGTAGATTTACTTTCATTATTATTATCATTTCAGCCATTAACTATCCACTGCTGAACATAAACCTCCCACTTGGGGGGTTTTACCAATAGTTACCATGTTTGGCAGGCGGATTAGCAACCGCAATTAGGCTTTGGAGATGTTTTAAGACGTCGCTGCCCATCCCTCTACCATACCCTTACATACATCCATACTTACATCACTCTTAGTCGTCTTTTACGACACTACAGGAAAGGAAGGGGTGGCCTATTCTATGCCGGGACCAATACGGCGCATGTTGATGTTAATATTTTTACAACAAGACTAAAATTAATGAAACCCCAAAGCAAAATATTAATCCATTTATCTAATTATAAATTATAACTAGACAATCTGCATATGAGAGGTATTTAAAAAAAATTACATGAGGAGCCTTAAATATAATCCAAAAGAATAATTTTTATTTTGTCTGTCTGTAGATCTGTCTATATGTTTTTTTCCGGCATCTTGCAAAAACTACTACACCAAATTAGATGCTACTTTAACAATTGTATTTCTAAAGGTCTGACTTAAAAACTGGTGTATATTTTATCTTGGCAAAATAGCTGAAAGTAGTCTATTTCATTAGTTTTCTTACTTCTGAAATCCATGCGTACAAAGTATTGGACAAAAATCAGTTTATTATATACTTAGGATTGTTTTTTTACAATTCAGGTGAAATAATAAAGACTTTATATTCTAGTATAATTAAATATAAGATCTAGAACAATCTATCATTTTGTGAAACTATTGACATACTTTTAAAATTTTTACAATATCTTGTTCGTATTAAGAATAAATGTAGTGAGATATTTTTTTGTTATTTATAAATTTACATGTTTGCAAATCACGCGTAATTAATTTTGATTAATTTTATTTTTGAATTATTTGTGTTCATCACAAGTTATTTTAAATTTAAAACAATCTAACATGGTGCATTTTTAATTCCATTATTAATAATTCAGTGAAACAAAAATAAACCTCTTCTTATCTTTTTTAAGTATATAAATATTTTATTTAATTATTTATATGATAGTACATAAAATAAGTAACATTTTGTACTATCAAAGGAAATTATCTATTAATTCTGTAGTTACAAATAAAGCATGTAGTAGACTTAATTAATTAATTAAAACAGACTTACTCTCCGCAAAAATCATCGCTAACTGTATAACAAATACGAAACTTGTTAATTGTACACTCATTTTTCTCACTGTTAATCCAATGACCGGCCGGATCGAAAGCTTATTCACTAGTCAATCGACCTCCTTAGCGTACTCATATATAAAGAGTTGCATTAGCATTGTGCGGAGTCAAGGTCGATAACACTATTTATCATAGTCATAAAATTAGACTACCTGTAAGCAAATGGGATGCGGTTATATAAATAATATAATAAATATTCCATATGTGACACATACAGCTATTGTCACCTTAATAGTTGCCTATTAATGTTACCGTGATAATTTTAATGTCAATATTACATACACATTCAAACTCGGAAATATTATTGTCGCAGGTACGGTTAAGGTAGGTAAGTTAAAGTCAACTATTTATTAACGTCATCTAAATTAAATAATAATTTTAAATGATTCTGGAATAAGTAATAAGACATAATATTTTTTTCAGAATAATTCAACATTTTTCTTTTGAAAAAAAAACACTGCGACTTGTGACAAAATTAATATTTAACCAAAAAGGTTCACTAAAAAAAATCACTATTTATTGGAAAAAGTATCGTCAAAGTTAGTTCAGTATTAGCGAGACATCGCGTAACATACACATAATACAAACGAATTAAGAACTTCTTACTTTTAAAATTTAATTTAATCATACAAATGTAAAATTTTTTTGGACAAATATCCTACTTCAATTGCTATCGATTAATACAGTACCAAGACAGAAACTAAACCCCATCTATAACAGACAGAATCATAAAAATTGGTGCAGACTACGCAGATATCGTATAATAGCTTTACAGATAAAAAAAAAATATAATAAACGCAATTTTTCCTCCTTCTTAAAGTCAGTTGAAAATTTGTTATAAACACGAAAATTAGGGTTAATTTCGACGACTTAAATTTAAATTTTGTTAATTTTCAAATAGTTTTTTTTATTTATGGAGATAAAATATCTACAAACAATCCAATCCTCTCCATTAATAATTACCTATAATTCCTCCGGTGTTAAACTGCATGTTTGTTTAACAACTGTGTTATAAAAAAAAGAAAACTACCTCCTGGTTTTTATTTAATAGATGATAATGTAATGATAATCCCGCCTCCGCTATTGAAATTCGTTAGTAGAAAACCAGTAACGAGATGAGATAGGTGAGGTAAAAAAACAGGTCAGGTGATCTTTTGTAACAAATTCTTCAAGAATTAACTATGATATATTGCTAGCAATGGAAACTAATGCCCCTATTACTAATATTTCCTTCCATAGGGGGTGGCTCCGCCATTTTATGTTAAAGTATAAATAAAATAATTGCATTTAGACGGAACGATATAAACGGTACCTACCTACTACATCGAGGGGGGGGAAGGAATAATTAGTAATGACACCCTACTAGGTCGACCTCCACCCGGTTCCCCCTGGAAACCATTGTGGTTAATTCTAGTGGATTTCGTCACGATGGTTTAACTGACTTGCTTTCATCGTCACTTATCATCCCTCACTGGTGCCCCGCCAGCGTATACCAAAAGCGCAGGCGGGATAACCATTCCATTATCACCTATTAAAAAAATTACACCAAGGGAGTAAGGATTGTTAGTAAGGGGGATTAGCAACTCTATTGCTAGCAATATACCATATCAGGTCGATATCCATGCGGTTCCCTCTACTAATCGTCGTAATTGATTTATTGTTGAATTCGTCACATTGGGCCAATTGATTTGCATTACCCTTACCTATCATCCCTCACTGGTGCTCTGCCAGTTTATATCAATAGCGCAGGCAGCATTCCGTTATCATCCATTGAAAAGAAAACCACAACTACGCCGACCCCAAATAAAGGGACAAGGGCAAGGTTGTGACGAATATAAATTGCATACCTACGTAATGATCGTTTTTTATAATTATTCTTATTTATTATATATTATAATTATTTTACATTTAAAAGTAGTAGGAATCTGATCCGACGTTAAAAGATTTGTATTTTTATTTTCAGTTAATTTCTAGTTAACTCTCCAGTAATGGAGAACATAGTTAACTACCCACTTAATCCTAGATATGGTGACAGGATTATAATAAAAACGGTTCCGCAAAGTGTAGATATGTTTATCACAATAACAGACAAATAAATGCCTTTTTTTTAAACGTCTAATTATACCTACCCCAATTTTACCATACCATTAAATTAAGAAAATAAAAATTCATAACTTCGTTTATGTCAACAAAATAAATAAAAAGACAAATAAAATTTGGACTGACGGTAAACGGTTACAGTTTTGGTTATTACACGTATTTATAAATTAAAACCGGTAGCATATTAAAAAATAGCCACGAAATAAACAGTTGCCCAATGTTTAACCATTATCATGGAGTCTACTTGGTTATGCGACCAAAAATTGTAGGTTGCATTTTTTTAAGGCGACTAAACGAGGTTGGTTTATGCGATATTTCGCCGGTTTATCTACATGTCAAGGTCCACTGGAATGCTGAGATTATGTTCACATGTATATTGCAAGAAATGGTTGAAATATTTCCACGTGTTTATACTTAGGTACAATGATTTTGCAATGAAATCGTCTGTGGCCTTCCGCTTCGCCATTGCACTATACAGATACTTTCCTCTGGCCATTGGTACCTTTACGACATTGTATTTTAACGCGACCATGAAGGGAGAGATTTTATATAACTACTTCTATTTCTGTGTTAAAATGCTAATTTTGTATTAATTAAATATTATTTTTTTATATAATGTTGTTAGAAATGTAACGCAAATAAATTATTGGATGAGATTAATATTAGGATAAAAACTATATGATCTCTGTTTCTCTCAAAAGAAATAAGATGTAAGTGCACAAATATAATAATACAATCAAGTAATAATATCAAAACTTACTTGCCGCCGTAGGTAAAATATATTATTTACGTTTATCGAAAAAGTCGTTTACCTATTATCGAATGTGCCATATAGGTTAATGACCCTAATTAAGCGTAATAAATACAGCTTGACTAGCGTAGCAGCGTAATAACTTAAGATTTCTCTCTATAAAAAAAAGTTATATTTTTTTTTTCATGTGTGATTAAAATCACTTTAAATTAATATAGAATCGACATGGGAATAAACCGTATTAATTGCAAAAATAGAATACAAAGAATTTAGAACCTCCTCTTGTTGTGATTATTTAAAAATATAGATATCACCTAAAATAAATATTTTTATTTCGAGTTCTTTAAGCAATTCTTATAAATTTATTCCTATGATTTTCCTAATCCTTTTATCGATTCTCTGATTACCATTTGTAATCCAATTACATGTTGAAACGGATTTAATGATACAACTCTGTAATCTACTGTAAATTGTAAAGGAGTTGAATAACCTACAAACAGAATCAGACGGATATCACAGTGTATTCTGTCAAATCCATTTCCCATCATATAGTTAAAGGTGCATAAAAAAATATTTTGATTTTTGATTGTAAATGTGAACCAAAACTAGGTATCAGTAGAAAGTGAACCGTATTGTATTCACCACGCCAATTGAGGAATTTCTGTATACAAATTCAAATCCATAATTTGTAGTTTTTTCCACATAAATTTTAGTTCTAATTTTAAATTATATACCTACCTAGATTACCTAGTATTTACTAACTTATTTGTTTAAAAGATAAAATTATGCATTGTATTAATTCCTAAGAAAGAATCCGATGGCTCTGCGTCCCAGCTACGTATATCTAAAAGTTTCATCGCGTAGAAAATTAAATTTCTTTCTACAAAGCATTAGGCGCGATTCTTTCCAATCTTGGCATAATCGGAATTTCATTTCGGTTTCTACTTGCGACTTCTGCTTCGTCTCGTTTCTATGCAAATTGACGCAAAACGCTTGACAACTGAATTATTTAATCGAACATCGAGAAGCCATTTGAATGTCTATGTATTATTTAATTAGTCGAACATCGAATTAAATAAAATTAATAATTATTATTATTTATTTGGAACAAAAACATTGATTACAATATTATTGAAAAACGATGATATCCACAGAAATTTAAAAACTGTGCAGCGAATATCAACGCCCTCCTCCTCATTGCAGCATTCCAAAACACACCAATTAAGGAGTATAGTTGTTACATCAATGAAGAGAGAGAATTTAAAAAAAATTTAATTTAATAATAAAAGCCTACTAATGTTAACTTAAAAAATGTGTATGTGCGTGCGTATGTGTGTGCGCAAGCGTGTGTGTGGATCTTGTGCTCAAGATTTCGAGTTCAATTCATTTATATGAACTACGAAGCTTCCCAATTTAGACCTATTAGGCATAGTAGGACAAATACATCAGGTTTTTTAATGGGTGTTAAATAGTAGTCCTGCTTACGCTATCAGTATACGTTGGCAAGGCACCAGTGAGGTGTCAACCCTGAAATGAAGATGATGAATAAGATGAGGATAAAACCACAATAATTTCCAGATAATAACCACCTGAAAGTCAACCAGATTTCCCCCTATCAACAATTCCATCCTTCCATAATACCTTAGCTACCATTCCTACTTACTTATGGTACAATATCTCTTTTTAATGCTTCATACTCATTACATTTTCGCTCGATCAAGGAAATGAACATTTTTAAATTTAATTTTGATATGGTAAATAATGACCGTGTAATCCCGGCATAGATCCACCCCTTTTTTCCCATGAGTGTTATAAGAGGCGACTAAGGGAACTTAATAATCGAGGAACCTAAAACATCTCCAAAACCTACCTGCGGTTACCAATCCACCTACCGAGCGTAACAACTACTGGCACACTCCTCCCCCCACTCCCAGAAGAAGGCTTATGTTCAGCAGTGGACAGTTAAAAGCTAATATGAAAATTTGTTAAAATTGTCAAAGACTCCCTTTCATAGCTTTCTTTGTAATCAATTGTTAAGGTTAAGGAATAGAAGAAATAATAAAGTACAATACTCAAATTATGCTTCCTTTGAGAGCATAATGAGCCCAATAATATTTGAATTTTAGTACCTATCTTTATTCACATAAGCTTCTTTTTTAATTACCAGGCAATTCTTTTAAATAATACATAACATCACCTTAGAGAAATGTTTTCTCCCTCGAATACTCAGGTTACGGAATGAG